TGAGGTACTGCTCTTCTGCAAATTGCTTGATATGTAATCAAACGTAGTATTATATATACACTGATACTCACAACAATAAATGTTGATTGGCTGCCAAGCTGAGTAGTAGTCTAGATCGCGTTTGCTATTTTGAAGGGTTAACTATTCAATAGTCTGTAGCGAAATCGCTGTTGCAGTAGCTGCAAATTCTGCAGTTTTCACTTTAACCCTACCTGTCATAGGGCCTTTGGATTGTGTCTTTTCGTAGATCAGTGTCAACATTGTCGCTTCATCTGACTGCGCCAAAACAATTTGGAAGGAGTTTAACTAAAATCTTATTTCTATAGAAACTACACCAAATGTTGGATATTCAAAAAAAAATAACATTTTCGCTTCCCGCCTGTCGCATCCGATCAAAGGTAAATAGATGTAAGGTTTTCGTGCGAAAGTTTGGTAGTCGGAAGTTGTTTTGAACACCAATGGAGGAGCGGCTCAGCAACGAGTATGCTGACGAGTCAGACTCTAAAAGTGGCCAGCTATTGTTAGTAAGACGAAAATGTTCGCGAATCTTAACATACCATTTATGTAGGTATAGGCAACAAGGCCTTCTCTAACATAGTCGTATTGAACATGCAAGGCAAAGATAGCAGATTCCCGAAGTGATTCCGCTCTCTCGATAAGACCGGGCAGTGGGCGATCAAATGAGAGAATTCCATTTGAGGAAAGCTAAACTAGTCGTTTCAGGAAAAGCATAAGCAAGGCGCCAAGGAACAAGCTAAGCTCAAAAAGCTCACATAAACAGTGTTATAGGGTTTCCCAAAGACAAACACTGGAGATGGGAGGTCGATGGAAGCAATAGCATCCATTTTTCTGGGCACCACTATGGAATCGTTGGCGATTGGATAGAGTATAGTTTCTGGAAATAACAATTTGTTCTGGTGAATGGCGGAGGTGTTGTAGATATTATCTATATGGGTAATCTTGAAGCATTTATATGGGATTATCGGAAAGATCGTGCCGTTTCTTGTAAAACAAGAAACCAAAAAATTAGAAGTGTTGACAACAATTATTTCTCATTTTATAACTTAGCATCTCCCTCTGTGAGAAAGTGCTTATCCAGAAATTTCAGTTCTAAAACTAGATGAATATCTTGGACAGCAAGAAACTTGAAAATGCTATAATGCTACCTATGCTACAAAAATCACATCCATTTTAGACAGTACGCTGCAGGGATCAAAAAGTGATGACGAAAATCATTTCCATTCTTATTCAAATTTTCCTTTTTGGGCAGATGGATAATTTTACCTTCCCATCGTACACATCTTTGTTTTAGAGTAAGGCATTTTACACTAAATGAATATGAGTTTCACGATCAGCATAAAAATCAACTTCAGTAGACTACGTTTCAGGCAAACCTGCAATTTCGGCCTCAGCAGCACAACTCTACCGCATCCTTTGAGGTCCTATCGTGAGTAATGGATATAACTTAATATGCATATCCAAATACCCTAATAGATCATTACAACAAGATACGAGCTTTTCGCGATCCAGTAAAATTAAGCTGTTGGGTATTCTTTTCGGTCCTTTAAACTTACGAATCACTTCCAATAATGCAAAACTGAGATCATAGGATAAGCGCGCACACTATCCTGTGGAAGGAGTCTTCTTCCAAATAAATATAATGTGTTGCAAAACCTTATCGAACTTTTTGTCGGAAAACATGATGTTTGTTTGGAAGAAAACGCGTAAACTTTCCGACAACCCAATATATCGAAGACAAAGAGTTCGTATAAATGGAAGATAACAACAACGCTAAAAATGCCACTTTTGAAAAGATATTTCTATTGTAATATTGTCGCCAGTTGATCGCTAGTTCGCCTTTACACAAGAGTTGAATAAAGGGAAAGAAAAACAATACCATGACACTGCATTCCATCTCCTACAAATCCATCAGGACAGCTACAAGAGAAAGATCCAACCAAG